TTTTTTTTTTTTTTTTTTAGCTGAGCCATCCTGCCACCTGTTGGCACCTACTTTATTTTTCTGTGGAGATGATTTCCCCCAGCCCTGGGTAGGCTAGGACTGCACTGAGACCCAGACCCTATCTTGACACGTTTGCTGGGTCTGACGTCCAACTTGATTTTGAGACCCCATGTGCCTGGGCTTAGATGGCCTATTGGCTGTCTTTAGCTACACTTATGATTTTGGATTCAACATGTCGTTTGCTAGTCTTTGGCTTTGGGAAACCACCAGTGGCCACTATTCATCATTGACAGCTAGCTAGCTGTTCAGAGCTGTGAAGACTGGTTTTCTTCAGTGATGCTGTCTAGGGGAGTGGTAATATGCCCTGGGAGTCCCTCCTAGGAACCTTTTCCCGAGGGGGCCTGGACTTGCTATGCCTGGGAGGACAGGGCTTTCCAGAGAGGAAGAGGGTAGTGCTGAGAGAAGCCAGGCACCGTTGCCTTTTGGCAGTGGTAGAAGTTCCTGGTTGAGCTGGTGTATAAGTGGGAGGGACAGAACAGAAGAAGGACTGGCAGAGGTGGAATGGGAACCAAGCCTACTGCTTTCCAGGATCTTCTTCCCCTAGGAGCTGGGCCACCCCCTGCAGCCTGGGAGCCCCCTCCACCCAGCCCCACCCTGGGAAAAGCTGTAGCTGAGGTTCTCACAGGTCCAGCTTCAAAGTATGGCTCACACTTGCTCTCCTCCTTTTGGAGTGCAATGAGGCAGGCAGCAGAGACCCCAGCCTCTTCTCAGTGGTGAGTGACTTAGCTGCCTTAGGCACCACATGAAAGCCAGGAGTTGTTTTGCAATGTGCTTTTGTGATGGCCTTGGGTGTTTTTAGCAGGTGACTGGGATTTGGCAGTTGAGGGAGGCTAGCAGGAGGATCTTATGCTTGATTTGGAAATATGACTCGAATTCTGATTTAGAGGCTTCCCTGATAGTCAGCTGGATCATCAGCCTGGGGACAGTGGGTATCCCTGAGGGACTGGAGGCCTGAATGGGAGGTGAAGGAGAAAGCTACTCTATAGGGAACAAATTCCTAGGTTCTAGGGACAGACTCCTCAAAGTGAAATGCTCCCCTCCCAACCCTCTCCCTGCTTGGGACCTTTTGCATGTTGAGAGGGAAAGACTGAGTAGGGGAAGTGTCCCAGAATCCCAGGACCATCCACCTGTACAGCTAGGCTACTAGCAAACTGGGGAGCAGAGGGGAAGCAGGGGCAGACTTGGCATCCTTGGCTAAGAGCTCTTTTGCTCTTTCACTCGCCAGGCTTGAAAGCACCTCCCTGTGTACACTCTTTCCCATCCGCCCTTTCTTTTCTCTGTACTTGTCTATGTCCTTAACTACCCTGACGGTAATCCCGAGTGTGGCTCGGGGTTAATTTTCACTGCCAGAAGCGGTAACCCCGAGCCACACTCCACACTCGGGATTACACTGCAGTGTCCCAGGGAAGTCCCTTACCTGCTCCCTGCGATCCTGCGGTGTCCTCCTGTGATCGCTGACGAGAACGCCGGCCGATGACAAATTGCAGTGGTTTTTATTTGATTACATTATTGAATAAAATTATGTTATTTATAATTATTTATTATATTGTAATTTGTGATTTTGTGTTTCAAACTTTATCATACCTGGGATGCCTACTAGACTCTTGTTTGGACAGATTTAAGTGAGTAATTCCTAAGAATTACAGGCCTACAATATAAAACAACAAATTTCCATGCAAAACAATGTACCGCTTTGGGTACAAAATTACTGACATAATCAGACCGCCAGGGAGGTTAAGGCCACAAGCCCAGGTGACCTCAGCCTTGGCCTTCAGCCATTTCCAGGCCTGACTCCTCTGGTAACTTGGGGCCTGTTGAGTGGCTTTGGCCCCTGCTCAGCTGTGTGGTCTGTTCACTGTCCTCTATCTCCAGGCCTTCTGGGGGTGGGGGAGGGCTGGACCTGGGCTTTCCTAGGAGATACAGATGTGCTTCTCCTTGTTGCTGCTTCTCCACCTCTGACCCAGGGGTGCCCTGCATTTGAAAAAAGGGCTTGTGGGTTGTAAGCAACTGGGATGCTTTTGCATGAAAGGATGTATTACTCATCAGCATGCTGAGCAAACAGGGATATATGGTCACCCTGATTAGAAGCAGGAGTCTTAGGGAGCCAGCAGATGCCTGGCATTTTTTAGGATCTCTTCTGTCTGTGCTTTAGGAATGAATGGATTTGCCTTCTGTGACTGTGTCTTGCCTGGGGTCTGGACTCAGCACTGGCAGGTCCCCGCACGTGGACAGCAGCTCCTGGCATGCTGCCTCCCTTTTCCAGTTTTCCAAGTCCTTTCTCATGGGTTAGGGACACCCACGCTGCCCTCGGCCTGTTTTTCTGAGCACTCTGTCTCAACTAGTGCAGCATGTCTCAGGAGAGAAGGTACCTAGTGACCCCAGCCACTGGCCCAATGCCACAGGAGCTAGCTGGGAAGGGCTTTTGGAGCTCTGGGAACCCTCAGGCCTGGGACTTTCAGGGTTAAATCCTTGGCCCAGCAGGACTGCCCCTAGCTCTTTGGAAGGAGTGAGTGTGAATAATAGTGGCAGTGGGGAAATTAGGCTGGGGGCCATGGGGGGAGGGGGTCTGGTGGGTGGGGAGTCTGCTTGTTGCCCAGGAGGGCAGAGAGAGCCTCCTCTGATACCTTAGCTGGCAGCGCCTTGCTTTGGGCTGGGGAGTAGACAGGGAGTGAACTCAGGTGCTCAGTAGTCTCTGACCACCAACCTACCCCGCCCCACTCCCAGTTCTTCATGCCTTGGCCATATCAGCTTCCAGGGCACAGCCAATTCTGGCCTCTCATTCAGAATGGGCCCAGGCTGCCCCAGGTGTGGTGGGGGTGGGGGTGGGGGAGTGTTTGTTGAGCAAAGTTAGACAATGATGCCTGGTCATGAGCATTTTCTGTCAGGAGCTCTGGGCTTCCTGGCATTTCCCCATCCTGCCTCTTGCCTCGTGTCTTGTCTACCAGGAGAGGGACCTGAGAAACAAGGCAGGACTAACAAGGGAGCCTCTGGTTAGTCCTGAATTAGTTCTTTTCTTTGATACTTTCTTTTCCCAACTGTTAGTGGCTGGTAGGCGGTTTAAGGTCCCTGGGTTTCCTGCCCAGAAATGCTGGCCCCGGCTGTACCTACATCCCTTCCCCAGGCACTGGCACTATTTAGGCTGTCCTTTCCTGGAATCCCCTGAATCAAGGTGGGTCTGGCTCCTAGGGCAGGCCGAGACCTCCCCTGACCACAGGCTCCTCAAAGCCAAGCCAAGCCTTTTCAGGGCTTTTTCAGCAAGACCCAGGTTATGGCTGTTCTGCCGTATGTGCTGGGGAGGGCGTCCTCCCCGGTTGGACTTTGACTTCTCCACAGCCTAGTAAACAGGTTCCTCATCTCAGCTCCTCACTGTCCTTATCATTCTGTGGCCAATCTCAGAATCCCCAAGATGGGGGAGGGGGTTGGTAATATTCTTGAAGGAATAGATGGGCTTCCACCACCCAAGCCCCCATCCTGGCTCACTGTCTTCAGAGCCTCTTCTGGCTTATGATGAATATCTAGTGGGAGAACAGCAAGAAGGAAAGGAAGAGTTTTGCTCCTAGCTCCTTCTAACCCTGGGGTCTGCATTGCTCTGTAGGCTCTCTAAGGGCTTAGTTCAAAGGACCTTAGGCTAAAAGAAGAGTGAGGCAGCCAGTCCTTGCACAGCTGCTGGTAACCTGATCCCACTGGATCTTTGCACTCTAGTAGAAGGGTCCTGGGAAAATCCAGGCTGGAGATGGGGTGAGGGTAGGCCAAAGTTACTGCAGGTGGGGCTGGGTAGGCTGCAATGGGGGAGAAAGCAGGCAGGGCAGGCCAGGGTGGGCTTTTCTCATTGCCTGTCTTCTGTCTTGCAGGTTGGAGGTACTCCATGACACACACTCGGAGAAAATCCCTTCCCATGTTGAGTTCAGGCCCCACTGGCCGTCAGGAGCCCCTGCAGATGGAAGGCAGCAATGTGGAGCAGGGAGTAGAGGGTATGGAGTCAGGCATGCCTGAGAGTCCAGGGCACCTCACAGGGCGCCGCAAGAACTACCCGCTGCGTAAACGCCCTTTGGTTCCTGAGAAGCCCAAGGACTGCAAAGTGCTGCTGACTCGCCTGGAGAATGTGGCCGGTCCACGGAGTGCAGATGAGGCTGATGAGTTGCCTCCTGACATGCCCAAACCTCCCAGCCCAGCGCCATCCAGTGAGGATGTTGGCCTCACCCAGCCCCGCAAGCGGCGCCTGGCCTCCCTCAATGCTGAGGCCCTCAATAACCTGCTCTTGGAGCGGGAGGACACGAACAGCCTGGCTGGCAGTCGCCGCAGCCGAGGGGGAGACCCCAATCGCAGTCGGGACCGCAACCGGACCACTGGGGGCTGGTCTTCCTCCAAGAAGCGGCCCAGACTGAGGGACCTCGGAGGAGGAAGTCGGGACCTGTCCCCAGAGCCAGCACCAGATGAAGGTGCCCGCCGAGATGGTGACCCAGCTCCCAAGAGACTGGCCAGCCTGAATGCAGCTGCCTTCCTGAAGTTGAGCCAGGAGCGAGAGCTACCCCAGCGGCCACCTCGTGCCCACCCAGAAACAGATGGGCGCTCCGCTGAGCCACCAGCACTGAAGGCCCCGAGGCCAAAGTGGGCCAAGGTCAATGGCAAGAACTATCCCAAGACCCGGCAGGGGGCCAGTTCTGGGGAAGCTGCAGGCCCACCTGGCTGGCCAGGGTACCCAGAGGAGCCATGGCTATCTGCCACCCCTCGTGGGCCATCCAGCCAACCACCTTACCAGCAGCCCCTGAGCAAAGCTCTGGAGAGCCCCTTGGGGCTGCGCCCCCACCTGCCACTGCTGATGGGTGGGCAGGCAGCCCTGAAGCCAGAGCCTGGACGCCCAGGAGAGGAGTCACCTGCCCCCAAGCAGGAACTGCATCAGCCCTCTTTCCCCACACCCCAGCTGTCGCCCCTGCCAATGCCTGGCAACCCTGCCGACTACAGGAGCCTGTGTGGTCCGCCTGAGCTTACTGCACTAGGCAGCTTCTACCTGTACTGCAGCCAAGATGGGCTGCAGTGTGGAGGCTACTCCCCTTGCCCCATGCTCCCTGAGGGCAAGCTGTCCCCAGTGGCTGCACCTACCGAGGGGCTCCTCTTGGCCCCAGGCTCAGTGCCTGTGGGTACTCCTTTCCAGCACCCTCCCTGGGGCTCTCGCTATTGCTCCAGTGAGGATGCTGGAGTGAATGGCTACAGCATCTGTGAAATGTTGCCCCCGTCTCTTACCCACATCGGCACTACCTGTGGCGGCTGTTCCTACAAAATGCCTTTTGCAGCAGGTAAGCCTTCCTGGGGTTGGGATGTACCAGGGAGTCTCAGACACGGTGTCCCAGGAGGGTGGTTCATGGATCAAGTGGAGCTCCTTGGGGTCTCGCTACTGCATTGGAGGTAGGGGCTTTGAGAGGGGAAGACTCCCCTCTTTTTGTGCCCCAAGCCTAGGAACATTCCCAGAAAACCATGTTTAGCTGTTAGCAGCCCTACTCTGTCCCTGCTGTCTATGCAGAGTTCTTGGTCTGGAAGGTAGCATTGTGGAAAGTGTAAGGAGGGCCTCTCCTTCTTTGCCATTGGGATACTCAGACTCTGAGTAGCAAGTTAGATATTAAAATGAAGGCTTTTGTCAAGATGTTCCCCTGTCCCTTCTACCCTCCTCAAGGAAAGCTAAAATTCCTTACCTTCTAGGAGCCCATACCATCTGCATACTGGCCAAGTCTTGGGAAGGATGACTTGGGAAGGATGGGGGTACCAGGCCCAGTAGGTGGTGCCAGCTGTGGTCAGACAGCTTCACCTTGGCCATTCAGACCTTGAAAGAGAAGTAGTGCCCAGTTAGAAACACCTTGCTAGGGGTGGACGGGGTGGTCACACTCCAAGAACAGACAGAGTTCCCTAGCATAGACAGGGTGCTCTCAAGGCCCGTGGCTTTGGTGTCTGCCTTCCTGGCAAGACTCAGACACCTGAAAGGCTTGTGCTGCAGCTGATGAGACACCCCCACAGTGATCTGTCTTCCCCCAAATTGGCAGGAGTGTCCTCACGTGCCTCTCCAGGCTCCCTTCTTTCCTGGGTGGAAACTAGGTGACCAGAGCCATCCTGTCCAGCAAGTCTGCCTTGCTTGTGGTGAAGTGAGGGGCCCGGCCTTCCCAGGACTCTCCCTTCCCCTAACACTCCTTATTGAAAGGGGTCTATAAAACAACTTTATAGACCAGTTGACTCTGGCCAGACTGGTTGTTTCAGATTCTAGAGTGAGTTGGAGCTCTAAGAAATGAGAATAGGCTGCTTCTTGGGCTTTTCTTCCTCTTTTGTAACACTCTTCAAATCTGGTGTCTAACCTGTTGGGACCCTTCCCCTGAGATACCAGTAAGCACCATGTGAGGCACTGTTCTAAAGCACTTTGCAGATGGGAGGCCACATGGCATGTAATTGAGCATAGACTGTGGAGCTAAACTGCTTAGAGTGAAATGTTCTCCCCCACTTACTCAGCCATGTGACCATGGGGCAAACCAGTAACTGCTCCATGTCTTTTTCTTAATTGTAAAATGAGGATAATGCTGCCTGTCTCATAGGGTTGTTGTAAGGATGGGATGAGTTCATACATTGATAAGAAAAACACCTAGGACAGACTACATGATATTTGCAACTACTACTTCTATTGCAAGGCACTGAGAGAGGTAAAGGAACTTGTCTGAGGTCACACAGCTAGTAAGTAGCAGATATGGGGATTCATATACTGGGCTGTCTGATTCCAGTTCCCTTGCTCCTAAGCACTGAGGAAGCCTTAGAGAAGATTAAGTCAGAGCTAGAAAAGCTGTTCCCATTACCCATTCCCTTCCTTCTTTCAGGCTGGAAGGGGAGATGGAGATGTCTGTGAGTCATCTCCAAGGTCAAGAAAAACGCTTGGCCAGTCACTTGAAGGCCCCTGACCCCACCAGCCTTTGGGTTCACACTTAGAATTAAGACAGGAGCAGGCTCTAAAAGCAGAGGGCCCTGGGGGGTTACTGCTTATCCTTACCTACCCTGACCCCCTCTCTCCTTTTCTCAGAAAGCTGCAGGTCCCTGGGCCAGCTGGAATTTCCTCTCCCAGAAGCTGGCCACCCAGCCTCACCTGCCCATCCCCTCCTGGGATGCCCTGTGCCCAGCGTGCCACCTGCAGCAGAGCCTGTCCCCCATCTTCAGACACCCACCTCAGAGCCCCAGACAGTAGCCCGCGCGTGCCCTCAGAGCGCCAAGCCTCCTAGTGGCTCCAAGTCAGGTCTTCGCACAGGCTCCAGCTGTAGGCACACTGTGAGGAGCAAGGCTGCCCACAGGCCCAGTCACCCCAAGCAACCACGTGTCCAGCGCCCACGCCCACGCCGCCGTCGCCGTCGCCGCACTAATGGCTGGGTGCCTGTGGGGGCTGCCTGTGAGAAGGCCGTCTATGTCTTGGTGAGTACCAGCTCTTAGCTGATGGGGAGAAGGGAGGGTGGCAGTGGGGACATAGGACCTGCAGTGAGGTGGGTCCCAAGAAGCCTGGCTCTAGCTACTCTGAGAGGTGACAAAGGGCTCTAGCTCATTCGTGCTCCAGGAACCAATCATGCTGGCCCAGCCTACTCCCCCAGCCCTTGCTGATCCTGTACTGTATGCCTTGGGGAGGTCAGAGCATGCACAGTCAGTCACAGCTAGTGGCTGCCATCTGTGTCACTCATTCTCAGGGAAGCTATCTGCAGTGTCTTCACCTTTCATTCCTTCTCACTCTCCCTTCTATCTTGGCTTATATAATGGAGGGCTTTCATGGAGGCTTTTTGGGTAAGTATGAGTATGTGTAGGAAAAATTGGGATAGGCAGAGAAAACCAGTGATACGGGAACATCTGGGATGATGAAGAGAATGTTGACTAAAATTTATTCAGCACTTCTTAGGTGTCACAACTGAGCTAAGCACTTTGCATGCATTATCTGCCTTCATCCTCACCACTACTCTGTGAGATATGTACCTCATGTTTCTATAATTATTCTCATTTCACAGATGAGGAAACTGAGGCTTAGCAGCAGATTAAGTAATTTGCCCAAGGCTAGGCTACTTCCAATGATAGTTTAAGGGTCAAATCCAGACTGTCCCATTAGGAAGTTTGAGGTCCTACCCACTGCCAGGGGCTTGGAGTGAGAGAGCCAGCCACTGGGATGTGGTGGTCATGGTGCAGTCCCAGAAGCTTCGGGGCCACTTTCCCACCTGTTTCCATTTCTCATCCTTTTTCCAGCCATGGGGACTCTCCACCCCCATCCTGTTCCTGAAAGCCAGGCTTAGGGAGAAGGGGCTGCTTCTGCAGTTTTCCTATCCTTAGCTGTTTGACTGCCCTGAGGAAAGCATGAAAAGGATGTCATTCCTTTTCTTCCTCCCTCCCTCCCCCCGACTCTTGAGTGCACCCCCACAATCCTGTTTGTGTCATTGGTTTGTTGCTTAGGATGAACCAGAACCAGCCATCCGAAAGAGCTACCAGGCGGTGGAGCGGCATGGAGAGACCATCCGAGTCCGGGACACTGTCCTCCTCAAGTCAGGCCCACGAAAGACATCCACACCTTATGTGGCCAAGATCTCTGCCCTCTGGGAGAACCCTGAATCAGGTATCCCCTGCCTAGAGCTTGACCTGGCACTGGTCTCCTCGTGTTCTTGGCAGAGTCTACCTTCCACTTAGCCAGGGTCTGTCTGCTGCTGAGGGCTGCAGGCAGCCGTGTGACTTGGGTTGGATCAGCTATTAACCTTTCCAGTCCCCAGGACCTGGGCACCTGTCTCCCTTCCTCACCTGTCAGTGCTTTTTCCCCCTTCTCCCTCCATGCCTAACAGCATTCCAGGCCACGGAATGCCAGGCTTGGCCTGAGACAGAGGACATGGGTGGTTGGAGCCTACAGGATTGGCCCAGCGTTGAAGTTGGATGGGCTTCCAGGGCATGTGGCCAGCCTGCCTGCCTGTCTGAGTAACTCTGGGGTTGCCAGCTCAAGCCATGACTGCTTCTCTTGTCCCCCCAGGAGAGCTGATGATGAGCCTCTTGTGGTATTACCGACCAGAGCACTTACAGGGAGGCCGCAGTCCCAGCATGCACGAGGTGAGCTGCTTGGCAAATGGGTCACAGAATGCAGGGGTGGCAGAGGGTGAGGTTGTGGCCTAAGAAGGTGATATAGGGAGGGCAGCCATGGGCAGTCAAGCTCCTAGACGTGTCACCTTTGATGCCAGAGAACCTGGGAAAGGGGGTGGGTTTCAGCCTCTTTTCCCAACCCTGCCTGATTCATGTTTCAAAGGGAATTGTCCTCTGTCTTGAAAGGGGGGCAGAAAGGGAGCCCGTGAGAGCAGGGTGCTAGAATGGAAGCAAGTGGATATGTCCTCCTGGTGACAGGAAAGGGAAGGTGAAGCGGTACACCTAGCCCCCTTTGATACCATCTGCAGCATGAGAGGGAGGGAAAAAAGGGCTCCCTGTAACACCCCTTAGTGCTCTACCCAGTGGTGTGCTAGGAGCAGTCATGCCCTCTGGGTGTGGTCCCTCTCCCCCAATCTGGCCTTTTACTCATTTGCCTCACTGGGACTTTTTGGAAAGATGTGCACCACCTTCCTTCTCCCCTGGACTGTTAGGGAGGCGGGGGGGCGGGGGGGGGAGTAGGAAGCTGATTACACTCGGGCTGGAGGAGGCACCTGGCTTCTCCAGAGTAGCATGTGACCTGCGAGGCACCTGGAATGAATGCTTAGGGTGCCAGGTGAGGAGCAGTTAGCCTCAAATTCCAGGGAAGTCCCTGCCTTTCTGGGCACTAGCTGGAGTTAGGTCAGGAGTCTCAGCAGAGGAGTTAATGTCTGCCTTGTTCCTGGAGTTAGGTGCTTCCAACCCCTGTAGCCGACCTCCTCCTCCTCTCTCCCCTTGAGCCTTTGCAGAATGAAGTCTTTGCATCGAGACATCAGGACCAGAACAGTGTGGCCTGCATCGAGGAGAAGTGCTACGTGCTGACCTTTGCCGAGTACTGCAGGTGGGTGGTGCCTGGTGCCTTTGGCTAGCCTCTCCCCCCAGACTCCCCAGGGCTGTTTGAGGACTGCCTGTGATCCCCACGGGGATCTCACGGAGCCTGACCTCCCAGAACTTTCTTCCTTACAGCTTGCTTCTACCATCTGATTTTTTTTTTTGGAAGAAAAAAACATTGTTGCAATCTAAGGCAGAATGGTTGGGCAGAGTTGGGGTGGTTACAATACTGTCCTCTGAGAAAATCAAGAAGAATTGGCAGATGGGAGGGAGGGAGGCCCTGGCAGGTGTGGTTCCCTAGTGACAGAGGAGGTAGACTGGCAGTTGGCATAGAGGGCATATAACCCCAGGACGGGGATGGAGGCAACACCAGCCCTTGCAGGGGCAGGAAGGAGCATCCCAGCTCTCTGGACAGGGTGGGGAAGGAATTGGTCTTCCTGCAAAGGTGACTTTGATAAAGACAGCAAACTTTATGTCACTGCAGATTCTGTGCCATGGCCAAGCGCCGAGGCGAGGGCCTCCCCAGCCGAAAGACAGCACTGGTGCCCCCCTCCGCGGACTACTCCACCCCGCCACACCGCACAGTGCCCGAAGATACGGACCCTGAGCTGGTGTTTCTTTGCCGCCATGTCTATGACTTCCGCCATGGCCGCATCCTCAAGAACCCCCAGTAGCCTCCTCCTGCCCACACTGGGGCTGCCCATGGGCAAGTGGGGCTCGGGGCAGGGGGCACTGCTTTGAAGCACAGCACTTGGTTAAGGGTCCACAGGAGCTTGAGGTTGCTGGCCTGTGGTTCTCTTGGTGGGAGGGCAGGGGCCTCTTATGGGTTCTGGGCCCTAGGGGAGGGAAGGGGAGGCCAGGATATAAAAAAAACATCAGAACCCTCAGCTTGGCCCAGGGTACCTCTCTGTGGTTCCTAGGCAGAGACTCCTGAAGAAGGAGTCTTTCATGAGGCTGGGCCAAGCCTGAGGGGCATGAGGTCCTGGGGGGAGGAAGGACGTCCTTCAGGAACTAGGCCCAGCAGACCCTTTAGGCTCATTTCAGCCCTTCAAGGGGGAGTGGAGCCAGCTTTACCTCACCCACTGTGACCCACTGCTTCCCAATCAGCCTGGGACCAGGCTCTTTCAGATTCTAGTACGGCTCTGAGCTCATCCCTTTTGAGGCATAGAGAGCCAGAGTCTAGCTTCCAGAGCATTGACTTCCTCTTCCTGGATTCGGGGCCTTCCCCTGGCTTTCCTCCTTTGCCCCTACAGTAGCCCCTGGTGCTGGGACAGGTTACCCAGCCCTCAGTTATGGGTGTGGCCCACTTGTGGGAGTCAGCTTCCTGTTCGCCTCCTGATGAGGGGCCACTCAGCAGGTCTGGCTTTCCAGAAGTTAACTGATCAACATGTAGTTTGTCATGTCTGGGAGGGCAGAAGAGAGCTTGGAGGGGGTGGGGGGCAGGGGCAAGGAAAATTGCTACCTGATTTATTGAAGACTTTTCCTCTTGCCTTACACTTGGAGGTTCTAGGGGACCTCTTGCAGAACTTCACATATGACTCTTCAAGCCACACCCACCTGAAATCAAACCAAAGGAGTGCTGTGGCTCCCCTTGCCCTGCCACCCCTTACCCTAGTCTTTTGTAGATTGCACTAATTTACATCCCAGCGAGAATCAACACTGTATCTATCGGTCCACAGACCTGCTGAGCTGCAGCCACTCACATTCTAGGAGCTAAGGAACGCATTTTCAGTTTGTTTCTGTTGCCCAGGGGCCCTGTTCTCACCTCATGCTGCTCCCCAGAGTAAAATTAGGAAGCTCAGACCCCTGTTGTCCTTTCTAGGACTAGGCCCTGGCCCTGGGGCTCTTTGCGAGGGGGCTGGAGCAGCCTGATTCTTTCTGATTTGTACCAAAGAGGAGCATGGTGAGGAGAGCAAGAGGAGCCTGATGTGGCTTGGGTCTGGCGCTGGGAACCTGCTTGTGAGCACTTCCATAGGGCACACCCTGGGGGTTAGGAGCCAAGGAGGGTAGCACTGAGTTCTTCTCCTCCAGGGAGGGGCAGACACGGACCCAGCAGGTTAAGGAGTTGGCACTGGGTGAGGGCAGTCAGACAGGGTCTGAAGATGGAGGTGGAAGCGAATTCCGAGAGCACTCCCAGGAAGCCTGGCCCTGTGCTGTCCCCAAGGAAATGGGCCGCTCCTGCTTGGTTATTGGGGTGGGGGAGGCCTAGAGGCTTCAGAGGTAAATTTACACAGGGGAAGCCCCAACTCCGCAAGAGAAGGGACTTAGTTTCCCTTGTATGGAATAAGCTGTTTGGAGGAAGGCATTGGTCTGGGAGTGTGTGGTACAGTAGAAGAAATCGCCAGAGTGGCCGTGGGGACTCTGGAGAGTCAGCTGTGGAGCCTGCTCATTCCCAGGGTGCTGGGCCCTTGCTGCAAAGGAGCTCAGCCTCACCCAGCAGGAGAGATCAAGGTCCTCCTCCCAGGGTCTGCTGCCCAGAACTTAAATGCTTTTGAAATCTCTTAGATGTTGAAATATTTTTTCGAACCTGAAAATGCAACTGGTAGAATTTCGATGGAAGCATAATTCATGTAAAATATATTTTAGTTGATATTTTGTAAAATGCACTTTTTGTGTGTGTCGACCCTGGTTTCTCAGATCTGTATTTCAGTGTTTACAAGGGAGGGAGGACCTTTCCTTACCTCCCTTTTGACAGAGATTAGAAGTACTTCTTTAAGAAAAAAATAAATTTGAAAAATTGTATTGATTTAGAAAAGGATCATCTCCTTCGTGTCCTGTCATCTTTTTATGCGTGAGTGTGGAGGGGCTCATGACTCTTTATTTTGGAGGTCCCTCCTGACACTTGCAGTGCAGGGGCTCACTAAGGTCAGTAAGCGAAGAGGGCAGGCAAATAGGGGGAAAGCAGAGAAAGGAGAGGAGACAAAGGGAATGGGAACTTGGAGTTGACTTCTTTAGCATTGTGGTAGCTAGAGTCACCTGCTTGGGCTGTGTGAAATCTGGGTTGCCAGCACTCACCTGGCCAGTGACCTGGGAACTGGTCCCCATATAGGTGTACAGTGAAGCTATCGCCTCATCATCCCGGGTCACCCCCCCTTGGGGAGCTGGCCAGCAGAATGCCTAGGGCCTCAGTGTCTAGCAACTGGCATTCCTTGCCAAGGGAATGAAGACCACATCATAGAGCCGAGGGTTTGTGACTGCCATGACTCCTGGTTCACCCCAGCCCCAAAGCCTCAGTGTTCACTGTGCTCAAGGTGGGGCAGCTGTGAGGCCTTGAGCGTTTTTAGGAGGCAGAGCATGGCTGCCCAGCCCTGTTGCATTTTGGCAAGGACATCTGGGTAGGTGCATTTCAATAGAGGTTATTAGGGGCATGGACAGTACCATGGACTTAATAGTACTGCCATCAGTGTGCTGCCCACAAGTCTGCTGAGTCCCAAGAGTCTCCTGTTATTTTACAGATAGGAAATGTATGGAGACAAGTACGTTGCCCAAGGACTTACCCAGAGTAAGTGACTATTCTTGTATTCAGACTGCCTCACTGTGACTGCTAACACAGAAAATCACCAGAGAAGTGAGCACATGTGGCCAGATTAATCAAAACTTTTTCAAAGCTGTTTTTTCCTTAGTATAAAAGATGTATTTACTGCTTCTTTAAAAAAAGAAAACTATTTTAGTAGACAATAATCCCACCACCAGAAATCTACCTTCAGTACCATTGGCAGCAAGGAGCAGCTTGGTAAAGACTGAACACTGATGCAGATTTCTAAATCTGAATGGTGCATACTGAGATGCAACCCAACATTCAGACAGTGGGGTGTGGGGAACCTACTCTGAGGAGCTTAGAAGGCCAGCATTCCTTCCCCTTGCTCATCCTGTGTGCTGTCACGCTGCTAGGATTGGGGGGCCAGCCAGGAGCCCTCTAGCTTTGTCTCATCCCTCAGAACCCCTCATCCTTTTGAATTCATCTGTCAACAGTAGCTCCATTCTCTCACTGAACTCAAAGCCTCTGGCATCTTCTACTCCAGTTCCCTCACCCTCCCAGTAGTGTCCCTAGGGTCAGCTGCTTCCTTCCCAATCATTCCACTTTTGTGCTCCAGTTATCTCTCAAGGGTCCTGATTAGGAATTAAAGTTTTAGAATCAGACCGATCCATACAGATTCTGAGCTTCCCTAAAGCCTCTCTGTTTCTTCAGCTGTACAGTGGGAATGCCATAGTGCCTACCTCCCAGGGTGACTGACAACCCTGGCTCCCCACACATAACAGGGTGAGGTCTGGATATTTAGTGAGGTGTACCCAGTTAAAGTGGAGACACGCTGACCACTGACATCCAGGGCATTCACATATCTGCCTCTAGCCCACGTGGCCAGCTTGGTGCCACTAAGCATATGTTTGGCTCCAGGCTGCTGCTCTGTGCCCCCCAGCCCCTCACCCTTCAAACTCTGCTGACCATGTAAGTGGTCACGAGGCACCAACTTGTCATTGGCCCCTCACTAGAGAATATCCCAGTTATCCCACCTCTTCAGGCCTGGGGAAGGGAAGGCAGAGGAAGGGAGAAGATTCCATTTCCAGACATTTCAGCATTACCAGTTGGATAAACACCAATCCATTATGTACTGTTAAATCTTAAAGAGTCGAGCATGCAGATGAGCCACTGGTCAGTGCCTGACAGTCTTGTTCCTCTTTATTGGAGTGGCTGGCTCTGCTTCCAGCGAGGAAGATAGGCCTCTCCAAAGTTTGGACTCCAGGAGAGCATTGTGTGGGTGGCCAGGGGGTGGTGGGGCGGGGGGGATTCCTCCAGACCCGCTGTTCAGAAGGAAGGGCTCCGCCCGGCCAGAGTGTGCGGCAGGGTGTTGGGTTCAGGTCCTCTCCGTCCTGCTCCTTCAGGGAACGCGTGTCGGCCTGGGTCTTTTCTGCCTGCGGGACCTCGGTAGCTTTTGTCCCCGGAACCGGAGAACCAAGACCGCCCGGGCTTAGGCGCCCCCTCCCGGGTGGGGGTCTGCACACGCCCTCCCAGCCTGCTCCCCTTAGGGGCGCCCGCCCCTCTCCCCGCCCCTGGCTGGGCCCGCCCCCGCGCCTGTGTCACGGCGGAGCCGGGGGCGGAGAGCTGCCGGGCGGGACATCCGGCCCGGGTCCCTAGCTGAGTCTGCCTGCTGCCGGCTGCCCGCTGCCCGCTGCCCGCCGCCGGCTCTGGCGCCTCTGCGGGACAGCCGGCCACCCCCGCACGCGCCCGAGGACTCCCTCCAGCTCCCCTGCCCGATCCCCTCCGGGTGCTGTGAGCCCAAACCGTCGGCGCCCGCCTCCAGGCTGAGCCCGCCTCCCAGCAGACAGCCCTCGGATCGGCCCGGCCCGCGCAGGCCCCCACCCCCGGAGCACCATGTTCCCCCGCCCGCTGACCCCGCTGGCGGCCCCAAATGGCGCCGAGCCCCTGGGCCGGGCTCTGAGGCGGGCCCCACTGGGCAGGGCCCGGGCAGGGCTGGGCGGGCCGCCCCTGCTGCTGCCGTCCATGCTGATGTTCGCGGTAATCGTGGCCTCCAGCGGGCTGCTGCTCATGATCGAGCGGGGAATCTTGGCGGAGATGAAGCCTCTTCCCCTGCACCCTCTCAACCGCGAGGGCTCGGTCAGGCGCGGGACGGTTCCCCGGCCTGGAGGGCTGTCCCTGGATGCCGGGGACTCGGACTTGCAGGTGAGGCGAGACATCCGGAACCGGACCTTGCGGGCGGTGTGCGGACAACCAGGCATGCCCCGGGACCCCTGGGACTTGCCGATCGGGCAGCGGCGCACCCTGCTGCGCCACATCCTCGTTAGTGACCGCTACCGATTCCTCTACTGCTACGTGCCCAAGGTGGCCTGCTCTAACTGGAAGCGGGTGCTGAAGGTGCTGGCAGGCGTCCTCGACAGCGTGGACGTCCGCCTTAAGATGGACCACCGTAATGACCTGGTGTTCCTGGCAGACCTGAGGCCTGAGGAGATCCGCTACCGCCTGCAGCACTACTTCAAGTTCATGTTTGTGCGGGACCCCTTGGAACGCCTTCTCTCAGCTTACCGCAACAAGTTTGGTGAGATCCGAGAGTACCAGCAGCGCTATGGAGCTGAGATTGTGAGGCGGTACAGGGCCGGTGCGGGACCCAGCCCTGCAGGGGACGATGTCACCTTCCCTGAGTTCCTGAGATACCTAGTGGATGAGGACCCTGAGCGCATGAATGAGCATTGGATGCCCGTGTACCACCTGTGCCAGCCTTGTGCTGTGCGCTATGACTTTGTAGGCTCCTATGAAAGGCTGGAGGCTGATGCCAACCAGGTGCTGGAGTGGGTGCGGGCACCACCCCATGTCCGATTTCCAGCTCGCCAGGCCTGGTACCGGCCTGCCAGCAGAGAAAGCCTGCACTACCACCTGTGCAGTGCGCCACGGGCCCTGCTGCAGGATGTGCTGCCCAAGTATATCATGGACTTCTCCCTCTTTGCCTACCCACTGCCTAATGTCACCAGGGAGGCCTGTCACCAGTGACCATGAGTATGAGCCAGCAACAATTGGGGACAGGTTTTGACAATGCCAACTTCTTGTGCCTGCCATTCAGAGAAACCCTGGCTCTGAGGCCTGGAGCTTCTCCAGATGTCTGGATGGCAAGGACTTCCCTCGGAACTTCTTTGTCCAGGGTGGGTGCCCACAGTGGCTCAGAAGACAGGGTTGGACAGGAGGCCTGGTGCTCTCCATTGGGGTTTCTTGGCGGCCAGTGTGACCTTTCTTGCCTTGGAAGAGCCACATACCAGTTTGCCAGTGAAGCAACACATGTGTTCTACAGACTGGCTCCAGGCCCCTGGCTGCAGGGATTATGCAGTCCATTTGGTCCACCTTAACTTAACCTGTGGCCAAACCCAGAGGTGGCGCCATTCTGGAGTGGAACCAGAGCCAGGGGCATGTGGCTCTGATCACCCATTCATCCACTCCATGTGCCTCAGGGCTGGAGTTAGCAGTCGTGCCTTACAAATGACTTTTGTGCCTTTCTGCTTCAGACTCAGAATTCCCTACATTTGCCAGTTCTTTCCATTTTTCCAAGGAAAGGAAAACTGAGTCAGGGCCCTTGCTTGGTAGCTCTAGGACTCAGCCCTGCAGGTATCCAAAGACCCCTGTGCCTAGCCTCTTTGGGCACCTCCTCCCTTCCCCCAAGATTGTGGCTAGTGTATCTGGCTGCCCCTTTTCTGACACATTTATGTAAAATTTGTACTTTTTTATAGAACCCCTATGAAGGCTTTGTTTTCCTAATAGCTGAATTTTTAATAAAGTTGTTTTGTATACAAAGTTAGCATTTTTTATTCTCTCCCTCTGAGCTCCTATGTGTCCACCAAATCTCCTAGATGTCTGTCTCTGCAATTCAGAAGAGGGAGCTTGCCGGTAGAGAAAGGAAGACAAAGTTTAACTTGTTTGGGTTAGTCCAGTAGACCAGTGCAACACCATAGAGAATTTGGGGGCTCCTCATAGGCCATAACAGATCATAGACTCAGCTTCTGGGATGCCACCAAAGGGCAAGCCCCATTAGGAATGGCACACCCCCATGGATTGTTCCCTGGAGAAGGGGGTGGGTATGAGACACTGTCTCTTCCTCCTCTTAGGAATAGTCCTTGATTGAGGAGGCCCCCAGATGAAAAAGGAGATTGTTGTGTGAGCAAAGGGAGGTTATTCCTGGCCTTGAGAATTACAAGGAAGGCAAGGAAGTTGAGCGAGGGTCAGGCTCTTGATGACTTAGTCCAGAGGAAGTTATGAGGGATGCAGGAGGATATACCTAACCTTGCTATTGGCCTGACTTTGGAGGAGAAATTGGGGGAGGAGGCTTCTCTGGGCAGTCATGGTTCTCTGCCATGACGCCCAGAAGGCATTACCTGCCTTACCTGATCTCTTTGTCTGGGTCAGATGCCCCTCTTCGGGGTCCCCTTGGCTCTGGAGACTTCACCTCAGATAGCATTTACCATGCTCTGTTGTAAATGGCCCAGTTACTTGTCAGTCTCCCCCATTGACACTGATTTGTATGAAGTTGAGACCATGTCTGTCTTGTTCACCTGACATTCCCATAACCTAGCCCAAGGGGCTGGCCTACAATAGGCATGTGCATGGCTCAGCAGAACCAAGGTGTACATCTCCATCTCACTGCAGGACAGAAAACACTGCACTTGGAGTCACCCAGACCAATCAAGCCCCAGCTCTGTTCACCAGCTGCCTGACCACCTCTCTGAGCCTCCACATGCTCCACTGTCTCATGGAAATAATAATGCCTATCTTACGTAGATTGCTATGAGGATTCATGAAGACAATATGAGTAAAAGGGCCCATCCCAGCACCTGGCTCAATGGTTGTTCTTTGAGATGCTAGTTGAACATCTGATCCCTCAGTGGCCTATGGAGACAGGAGAAGCCAGGACAGTGTCCACCCAGCACTGGAGACTGGATCTGCCTCTAGGTAGAGCCCCTTTGACCTATGGGTTCACTTCGTCTGCCAACCAGCCAGTCCTCTAAGCTTCTGGCCCTCAGGGGTCCTCCACTCCAACCCTGCCCTCAGCTTCTCCTCCTTGGCTGGGAACTGCAGCTCCAGACCTATATAGCAGCTATTCAGTCCCCCTCAAAAGTCCTGTAGTGTGGAACACGGAGAGCCCAGAGGTTGCTGGGCCCAGCTATTGTGTTTATCTCATCTCATTTAGTCCTCACAACAGCCCAGTGTCACAGGTGTTATCACCCTGTTTTACAGACTGGAAAACTAGCACAGAGGGGATAAGTATCTTGCCCAAAGTCCAACCCAGGTCTGTGTGCTCCCAAATTGGGGGATGGGTGAGGGGGTGGCGAGAGACAGAGAGAGGGAGGGAGGGAGATTGAGACTGAGTAAAGTGCTGGTTGAGAGAAGAGGGAATAGGGAGGTGAAGGAAGATGAAAGGTAGGTCGTATTTAGGGGTATTTTCACACATGCTCTCTCCTCAGTTCATTTGCAAATAATCCAATTTAGCCCAGCTGACGTTTACCAGCCTCTGCCCCAGAGGACTGGGATGAAGGAAGTCCTTGATGTGGTTAGCTTATTGACTACTCTCCTCCCAGGTATTAAAGGGTGCAAGGCCTCAGAGCACCCCAACAGCCAGAACTGGACACCTGTGGTGTGGGGAGGAGGGTTTGAGGTTAAAGGGAAGAGAGAGTGCTGAGACAAACTGCCACCTACTGTCATTGTTTTCCCTAGACTCAGCCCCTGAGGAACTTAATTTGTCATCTACCCTTCCTTTCAGGAAAATGGACTTCTAAAAAACAAGCCGCCAAAG